TTGTTGAAAAGTCTTGGAATCGTTTGATGGATATTTATTACCATGAAAACTTACGTCCCTGTTGTCAAACGGCCCATGTGGGTGACATCACCAATTTACTCATTAACCAATAAAATTTGTGTGTTATTACTTTTATAAGCTCTGGCCACTGAGAGTGCTGTAGTTCCTACCACAAATGTCCCTTTAAGCAGCCCTATACAAATTGAGATGCTTTAAGATTTTGATGAATTTGATCTATTACATTATAGCCATAAATCCTGTATTTTGGCTATCATCACACCATAAAATCTTTAGATTTTCAACAGACTATCCTTAAGCCAGTAGTTAGGCAAGCTGTATCCCTTGCCCAGGGGTCCTGCACACATGTGAGGTTGGAAAATACCACTTCTTTCCTGTGTGTGTTTGGATCATTAGCAAATCTAGCACACATACTTTGAGTAGTGTTATCACTATGAAGATTATAAGGTTTTCTAAAGTTAAGAAACGTAATCTGTAGAACTTATCTTGTTTATTAGGTTATTAGGAGGATTAATCATGTCAGTATAAGTTGAATGTATTGTGGGAGCATGGACACTCCACCTCCATCTGCATACATCACCTATTCTGGGTGCAGCAAGTTCTAGATCACTGGAGGCCAAGATCGTACAAGGTGCCTGTGCATAATATTACTTTTGATGACAACCTCTGCAATCATCACCTACACTCTTGGAAACTATCATGGGGAAGATACAGGCTGCTGGCTTCTCCAGAAGTCTGCTCAGGAAGCAGTGACAAAATCTTGAATACCTCATTCACCTGCCATTAATGACATTAAATGGAACTAGTTCTATCAGTGGCAAAGAAGATGATGATTGGGAAATGTAACTATACCTACGGTGGCAGACCTACACTCCCCCTGAGACAGTTTTGTCAAGGTACCATAGAGGGTACAGATCAGGACATGATGGATTGTCCATAGTAAATCACCCATTACTCGATTGATGAAATCATTAGAGGACATCAGGATTCCAGCAGCTTCAACCTTGGAAGGTAAGTTAGCATCTTGATCATTTGTCGGCCTAGGGCGGGGCAGATCATAGGTAAACAGCTGGACTCACATTAGAAACTCTGAAGGGGATCTACGGTTCAACAGGAGTGGCGACAGTACAAAGTTTTGTCATAGTCGGATGTGACATTGACTAAACCAAAAGTGACATCATTGGAAGATGAAGAGATCAGGTATTGTGCATTTTCCTCATTGTGTCTATGTGTTTGTTTCACCAGCTATCTAGCATTACTAGATGTCTGTTCCCACTGATACCTCTAGAGAATACTTGCTATGAAGAAGGGTATTTTAAGTACTCATCAATTAGTAGTTATCATTGTGAATAATTCTAAGAATAATACCTCTGTAATGTACAAGCCTTTTGTATATTTAGGTCAGCAGACAGTGAGATTAATCATATTTTACATGTTGTATCCAGTACAGCATACAACCGTAAACGTATACGTTATTGCTATATACATTTATTGTATATCACCACTGATCTTACTGACTGTTTAATGTGAATACATTCTTAATCACCTGTTTCGATTTGATAGTTCGTATGACGTCACCTATATTCGTGAGTCTGTTCCACGAAACTACTTCCTGTAGCATAATGGCTTAAATCCACCTTGTATTGCTACAAAATTGCATGTAGTCTATCTAAATGCATTGTATATTCCTACATAGCCGTGACACAACGTAAAATAACTTCTGTCACTGATGGAGTGCAATTTTCCTACGTTTCCTCGACCGTATCCTCGATCCGAGAGACTACTCCCGGTATTACGTCACTTTGTTGACAGTTAGATCAGTTGTTGAATATCTGAGGCTGGAGAGCTTGACGGTTCAAAACCGAGAAATGTGAGTTACGACTCGCGAATTATATATTTCTTGTATATATTATTAATCGAAATGTAATACTGTGAAAAGAATAATTATATTATTTATAATGTTGTCAAGATCACAGATAATCTTGTATATATTAATTATATTTTAGTACTTTAGATAGATGTATTATGGTATGGTTACATTAGTATATTAAGCTTTGGGGGTTGTTTTTAGATACTGTCAGGTAATACTTTGGGAACAGGTAAGGCTTAGGGAAGTATGACTGGGTACGGCTGATAGCTGGGGAGTTAATTGGTGTAACAATAGGGAGGTCAGAGGTAGCTTGGACTTTGGGGTCAGTTTAAATAGCGGGGCAGGGTAATAATTTGTACAGTCAGCCAGAATCAGTATGTTCATCTAAGGCATGGACTAACATTGCGGGAGATTTCTACTCTGGTTGGCGTAAGTTTGTACATTTATTTGTTTTATGTAGAATAGTATTTTAGAGGATAGAATTTTGAGTTATGCATTGTTTTCAAATGTAATTATGTACACATATTGATTGTAATAACGTAAAGCCACTGTAACAATAACAACAACATGATCAAAGTATAAACAGTTCCACTCAGTAAAATGTAAATTGGAGAATTGATGCATTGTTGTATGTATTGTAAGCTAGTGACACATACCTCAGTAACTATAGTTGCTTGTATTATATTGTAGTGTCCCGGAACTGGCCGGTTATCCTTATAACCAAGTACGTAGGAGGAAGGACGAACCTCCAACATTACGTAAGGAGAGAAGTTCTCCGACACTACGTAAGGAGAGAAGTATCTCCGTTGGTGTGCACATCATAGGATGAACACAGCCGTGGCATCCAAGTAACACAGGCACCCTCAACTCCGTGGGGAAAACATCACCTGGGTGCAAAGATCACCATTCTATATTATGAGGAAGTATCCTCGTGTGAACTAATCAGTGACATCATAGATTCTTGAGTTTTCTGTATACAGCTGATGTGACAGTAACAGTGGAGTGGCTTTGTTTTTTTTGGGTGTGTGTGTTTTTGTTGTTGTATATAGGTACATCCATGAAGTTATTAACGTGTATTAGTTGTGTTATGTTTTAGAACATTTGTATTAGTGTTGTGTTAGTTTTGTTAGAAGTAGACTATTAGTATTGGTATAGTAGTATCATGATAGTTGTATTGGTAGTAATAGATATTTGTATTGTTGGTTGTAGATATTCGTATTGTTAGTAATAAAATATTAGTAGAAGATGTTAGTATTGTTAGTACTAGTAGTAGGATATTTGTAATAGAAGTTGGAGAGGATAAGTCAAGCTAGTTTAGTTGTGTTAGTTAATTTGAAATTAGTGTGCATTTAAATATTGTTATTGGGCTTTAAAATTAACTTAAGGGAGGGAATAAATCTTGATTAAAACTTAATTTGTGTTTGTGGTTGATTCAATATGTGACAAATGTAATAAATGTTTATTGTGTATTTCTAATAATCTATTGTGTATTTTTAATACTGACCTGTCATGCATTTTTTTTACATTTCTTGTACACATAAACGATACTATCTTCAAGGATTCAAAGTTGCAGTTTGAAAACTTACAGCATTTGGAACAGGAAGTAATCGAGCAGGCAATGAGAAAGTAGTTAAAGTACTGTCGGTAATGCTAGAAAAATGTTTTCTGGCTTCATTTAATAAATACGAATCATAGGGCTTTGAAAATCGTATATATCAAAATAATTGTATCCATGACAATGACACTGGGGTTGTTGAGACTGGGCAGTAGCTGATATCCCAACCAGTCTATGAACATCTCACCATTCATTTCCTTATCCCCAGTTTATTTTTCACATAAAAAACTAGCTCACATCCATCAATGGGCCCCTGATAATTGGTTCAGGCGTGCAAAACAAAGACACGATAACCTTTACCTGATCTGACCTGACGGAAGCCACATGTTGTCAGTGGAATGATTCTTATCAAACCCCAAACTTAACAGGGCGGGGGTATATAGTAGGGCTGCAACGAATATATTATGAGGTGAATACGATTTGTATCATGAATATAGGGTAACGAATAAAAATATAAATTCACGAATGCAATAACAAATCGGCAGTTGATGTAGTATTTATTATATTCAGTGAAACAATAAACACATAAATAATTTGACATGGTTTATTAATTATTAATATATTATACATTCATCTGTCCTTCCTTCCTTCCTTCTGATGGTTTTCATGTTTTGAACTAAAAAATATGTTGGTGTTGAAGTCGGGGGGTATTAGTGAGACATGCTCACTTTTGTTTCATCAAGGTGAAAGATCTGGAAGCCCTGACTACAATAGCAATGAATGGTGCGGAGATAATGTGACCTCACAGACAAAATGGAATATTTTCCCCTGAAGACTACTTGGTCGCCACATGCAGTGGATCTTGTAACACCATTTACACTATCAGTGGGATGATTCATGCAAAGTTTTGTACATGGAACTGACAAGAAGAAATTGGCAAAACAAATTTTAGCTGGACATCCCATAGACAGACATGATGGACTGACATTTCCGAAATTTTGACGTTTGAGCCATGTTGCTCTGGCCGTAGCGATGCCAAATACTTATTGCTTTGATCGAAGAGACATGGACAAGGGAGCTATTCTAGCACTCTATTAACGGACTACATAACAGGAACATAATCCACATGTCCTTGTGACTTTTTGCCTTTCTGCAACTTAATCTATGCTTGAAAACGGATCTTGAGCTCAAAATTGTCAAATTAAGACATTTTGTAGGATTGCAAGCCAGTATCATTCCCCTTGAAGGTTCTTGCCGAATTACTTCAATATTTAGGACAATTTGTCTGCAAAAATGTCGGAAAAGAATCTTGGATCCTTTATTGCTGCTTACAGTTAGTTTTATGTTGGATTTTTAAAAATAATTAACCACCTACATTGAAGTTCGGGACATACATTTTATTAACCACTTATATATGAAATAAAAGGCCTAAACAATACTTTCACTGCATGACTTAATTCAAATGAATTAGGCCCTCTGAGGGTTAATGTACACATAGACATTGAGCCAGTTGAGCCTTGGCACCCTTGAGTACAATTCGAATTTTCATCGTTTCAGGAGGGTTTATCTGCTTTGCACTACTCTGTCATGGTGAAAAGAGAGGATTTGTGTCATCTGCTGCTTAGTCGAGGGGCTTACGTTGACAGTGAAGACAGCTGTGGCCGGTAAGATAATTGAATGTATGCAACCCCCAAAACAGTTGTGTACTATCGAAATGGACTCCCTACAAAATGAGTTCCTTGATCAAAATCCTTATGTCTCTTCATACAATTTCAGATTGATTTGTTCATTGTGTAAGGCTGCACTCAGCAGTATTTAAGCAATATGAGGACAGTCTAAAACATTCTACGCAATTAGGATATGATGGCATTCATCAACTGAGTCAGCGAGTGTGACCACCCTATACTGTTAGTCACCTCTTATGAAAATCACGGGTTGCTGAACACTTACTTTAACCAGATCTTCATGAGTGTATAATTTCAGACAGCTCCTGGTGGTCACCATGGCATGGTAACTCATCATGCATGAAGACCAATTTTGTACTACTGTAATTTACAGAATTCAATATCATATGCTTGCATGATCACATATTTCATATTGTGATAAAATCCTGTGAATTTATTCAAATCTCCCTCTAAAACTTGTGATCATGAAAACATCTTAAAGAACCACAAAATACAATATTGCTTTTCTGATCAAACCGATTTATTAAAGTAAAAAAACAAATAAATCACACTCTGGAATGTTTGACTAGATTGAGATCCATGATTAAATGTTAAAATCAAAATGAAAGAAAATATTGAACATGTTGAAGTCTTTATATATTATATCACAACACACTTGACTCAATAAAAGCATAAACAAAAGAGGACTCGAAAAGTGAAAAACAAAAATTCACTCACAAAATATATTTGAACATGTTGAAAAAACCATGTACTAAGCATGCTAAGGTGCTTTTGTTCTGATATACAACATGCCCAAGCAACTAACGCTTTGTTTATTCTAAATCAAACACATCAACAGTACACTCCATATATTCATATGATATGTTACATGGCCATAATCAACTGATAATACTTTATGAATCTGAAATTTATACTTCGAGCATGTTTAGCTAAACGTTTCTTTCAAAATGTTTAAATAAACAAACATTTTAGCTGTTAAAACAAATTACAAACTACTTGTCTTTCACAGGGTATGTGTGGAATGTTATTTCACTTTTGAAAATGTTTAACTCAAAAACAAACATTACAGACAGACAGACAGACATGTTTATTCAGTAAAAGGCCAATGGCCCAAAATACAGACATGTGAGCATGACATTTACAGGGCACAGAATTTATCATTAATTATTTTGTGAGCATAAAATAAGAATTTACAAACTAGAAATAATGTTTGCTCATTATAATTACTAAGAATATTTATTACATGAGAATTACTGTAATGAGTAGGCATAGGAAGATTAACAAGGTATTTTTGTCTTAGGGCAGAATATAAATTACAATTAAAGAGTACATGGAATTCATCCTCAATGTCATTAACTCCCTTACTACTACAATAGTTACAGAATCTGAGTGAACGGTCTGTTTTACTATATCTGCCAGTTTCTAAAGCTATTTTAAAATTTGAACATCTGAATTTAGTAAAAGCAATTCTTAAATGGGTAGGGAGTGGACATGACAAGTACCTTTCAACATTTAACATTGATTTAAAATGCTTATAAAGATCACATTTTGGAGAAGAGTTTACAGAAGCACTCCAGAATTGCTGTAAATTATCTTTGAGCCTTTGCTTAAATTGGAGAATAAAAGCTTTAGAGTCACCCACCTCTTGATTGAGCCATACAAAACCAAACCCAAATTGGAATAAAATATTTCTAACTTTAGTCGCCCAAGTTACCTGCCCAACATCATCTAAAGATTTAAGCATTAAATAGCATTGGGAAGGTAATCTGTGCTGTTGAAGATGTAAGAGCCTGCACCAATATTTAATTACTTTAGTCATGTAAGTGAGTTGTAAAAGAAACCTCCCACATTCCCCTAAAACCATATTTGAGCAGGTTGATTTGTTTACTTTTAAATAATGCTTACAAGAGGCGATTTGGACAGATTCAATTTTTTTACAGTAGCAAGTACCCCAAATTTCAGAGCCATAGGTTAAGATGGGGGTGACCATAGAGTCAAAAACCTTAAACAGATCTGTACAAGTGATATTACCAATTTTCCTTTGAAAAGAGTTAATGGCTAAAATTGATTTGGTGGCTTGGGATGCTAGAGTAGTTTGTGCCTTACTCCATACAAGCTTAGGTGTAAACATTAAAGGGGCACTGATCTAACGCAATTCCCCGGACTGGTTGTTGCCTTTGTTATTGTTTTTTTCCCCGTGAGTACCCGGATGATACGCAACGCAACTGAGCGTGACCAGAGACTGGGCTACCGTCTGCAAGGACTGCTAAATAAACTTGGAGGCTGGAGGCAATATTTGTTTTACACATTTTTGCATAAACACTGATTGGTTAACTGTGATCTATAAAGATTTCGACAAAGGGCGCATGTTAATTAATTTCTTCAGCCTAAACAAACAGACAAAAAGAACGGCGGAGCTCATCGGATGTCGTCATTTGGAAATACCCCAGATGATTATTGTTTTATACTAAAAAAAGTATCCATGCAGTGAAAGCATTTTCAGATTTCGGATTGCGTCGATAATACGATTACTACTCACTTGTTGTCATCCACGTTTTCTGGTATATCCCTACACTTGTGTATTTGTCGTCATTCACTTGATGCTCAGTTAATGAATTTATTACAGGTACAATTAGTGGTAGCACCACTTAGATCACCTGACAAAGGTTCCCATTTGGCATTTATTGTGTCTGGGGTAATTATTCAATCTAAATCCAGGTTTGCACGTGGCAGCCCAGCAAGAGATGAATGATCAGTTGATTTACTTTTTTTAATAAATCAACAGATCGTTCCTAGTCATCAAAGGATTAACAGAAAATACGTTGATTGATTAATCACTGTTATTTTGCACAGTGGATATGTCAAAAGTGAGTGTTGGTAGGTTGTAATTATAGTATTTGCATTTTGTTTTCCTTCATTTGAACCGATTCGTTCTTGTTTCTCTACGTCTTGGTTGGGAAATTCTTCAATGCGCGATAGACGTTGTTTTCACAGGTCTTTTCCTTTGTAAGCGTGTATAAATTACCGTAAATTTGTAAAATGTGATTCTCTCAGGCAATTTATAAAATTAATAAATATTTCAGTCATTTTGACTAAAAAATCTGTCCAGATTGATTAAGACGATCAAAAGGGCCTACAAACATCACAACAGATTATTATGTAGGATAAGAAGCCAAACAACATAGAAATATACTTTTCAACGTAACATTTTCAGTCTCTTGGTGATGACATTAAACATCAAAATGTTTGGAATTCGTTATCATAATAATACAGATGGAAAGGTTTTTCAGTTACTTTGTAAAATAACTGAATATTTAGACGTTTAATAAATTTGTTACACATTTTGACAGTAAAAAAATATACACACTATAAAAAAGTGCTCAGGTGAAATATTTACTTTGTGTTGCAAGTCGAAATAGTATAAACGAAAATCTCAAAATTACCTAGCAAGTGACTTATCAAAACTTCGTCACTATTACCGATGCTACCCACAAAGATACCTACATTTCCTTATTATCTTGAAAATTGTATTTCATTTTGTTGATCAATGTGACCATACGCCCTTATTACTACCCATAAAAGTGACTAATGCGCTTACGAATGGCGCAGCGGAGGTCGCGAACTAGTCTAGATTTCTGCTATACATCCGGGTACTCACTGGGAAAAAACAATAACAAAGACAACAACCAGTCCCGGGGAATTGCGTTAGATCAGTGCCCCTTTAAGCCAAGATATCTATAGCTTGAAACAGTTTCAATAGGTTCACCATGATAAAACCACTTTTCATAACTGCGAAGATGGCCACCTTGCCTAAATACAATTACTTTGGTTTTTTTAAAGTTAATTTGCATGCCTGTTTTATTACAAAATATTTCCAAAGCATTAATTTTCTTTTGAAGCTGGGCACAACTATCTGAGAGAGCAGAAACATCATCAGCAAAAAGAAGAGCACATAAATTATCTATATCAGGAGAAATATGAATACCTTTACCACCTAATTCCTCAAATACTGTGGACAAATTATTAATAAAAATTAAGAACATTTGTGGGCTTAAGACTCAACCTTGGCGAGTACCTACATTACATGGAAACACTTGAGATAAACCTTTGGCTGATCTTACACAAGCTGATAAACCACTGTACATGGAAACTAGGACATTATAAATGGGACCCGATATACCTACTTTCTTTATTGAATCTAACAGAACATCATGTTTTACAGTGTCGAAAGCTTTCGAAAAATCAATAAAGAGGCAGTAAAATCTTCCCTTCTTTTTGCCAGAATATTTTGTTGTAATAGCTTGTAATGTAAACATATGGTCAATAGTAGAATAGTCAGTTCTAAAACCAGCCTGAGCTTCACTGAGGATGTTATTGGTGTCACACCATAGCTGTAATCTGCTGTTTAGGATAGATGTAAAAACCTTGCATAAAGTGTCTATAAGAGATATTCCTCTGTAGTTGTCTGTATTTGATTTATCACCAGATTTATGTAATGGACAGATTATACTCTTACCCAATGAAGATGGGAAGGAACCAGTAGAGAATATTTGATTAAAAATCTTGGTGAGAATAGGTGAAGGTTACTGCAGGATTTAATAAATTCATTTGGTATGCCATCTGCCATCTGTTAGGTAGATTTTTTATGTGGGATAATACTTCTTGTTCAGAGATGGGATGGTTTAAACTATCGGAGGCAGAGGGGGCAGAATCATCATAGAGTGGATACTGGGTGCTATTGTCAGTGGATAAAAGTGATCTAAAATGGTCAAACCATTGCTGGCATGAAATATTTTCAGAAATTGTGTTACCAAATTTGTTTTCTTTAATGATTTTCCAGAAAAGACTTGGGTCAGATCTAGCTGCGACTAATTTGTCCCTCTGAGTTTGTAGATACTGCTGTTTTTTGGAATTGAAACTTTTCTTAAACAAGCGTCTAAAATATCTAAAGCGGTCTAGATCAGCATTGTGGTCTCTATGGGCTCTGAGAGCAGCATACTTATCATGTTTCAAGTTTTCCAGATCTTGGTCCCACCATTGTGGCTGACATAATTTTAATGGTTTGCGGAATTGTGTATAAAGCTTTTTGGTATGGTTAGCAGCACAATGAATAATATTAACTATATGAACTAGGGCACTCTCCACATTTGTATCAATCATATCACATAGTGAAGATTTAATATCATAAAAGCCAGCTTTAAAATTATCAAAGAAAGTGTTACCAGAGTCTCTACTCCAGACATACTTACCCGGTATACCATTTACATGGCTCAGTACTGACATCTTGCGGAAGATCATTTTGTGGCAATTTACAATAAGGTTCATATAAACAGTTAAAATCTAGATTAAGACTGCAGTATAATGGAAAGTGGCATGAATTATCTCTTGTACCAATACCAAAGTCAGTTACATGGGGAAACAGGGATGATGACGCTAACACATAATCAACAACACTTGCTCCATTGTGTGTTACACAAGTGAACTCTCCTCTCTGATCATTAAAGAGCCTGCCATTAAAGACGTGAAGATTAAAAGAACGACAAAGTTCTGCTAGTTTAACACCATAATTGTTGAAGGCATGACAATCCCTGGATTTTCGAGGCATATCAAACACATCTCCTGGATAACATTACAATCAATATGATTAATCATCTTTTTGTTCCAGCTGTCATTCCAATGTCATAAAAACATCATTATTCCAAAAAAACGTTGCCCTCAAATTCTATCATCTGTTGTTACACACTGTTACACAAAATAAACATGTCATTTGTATAAATAAAACTATTCAAGATGCCTTGGATACATGTTAAATCAACTCAAGGAACTGTCAAAGTACTGTTTACAGCTTAGATTTTTTGCCACAGCTCTGTCTAGTTGATGACTGTCTAGTATGCAATTTCTCAGGTGAACAATCTCGACAAGAGGGGAACACACCACTCTCGTTCTGCAAATTGGCACTGGTACCACACCGAACACAAACATCAGCAAAAATACCAGAACTGAAGTATGGTACTTCAATGTCATTCTCACATTTTAGGTTCTTTCTAACAAAAACTTTCTTCAGCACCTCATTCACACGTACAGTAGTGAGCTTCATCAGCTCCTGCAAATTGGACCCACATGAATATTCATACAATTCAAGAATTCTGTCAAGAATTATTAAACTTGAGCGATCAATTTTCTTCTCACAGTAAAGAACTCTTGGTTTTCCACACTCTGTGCAAAACACATTCCTTTGAACTGTCTTACAGGTTTGGGCAGAGGGACTAAAGGGTATGCCATGAGAATTAAGTGTTGGTGGCCTTTTTTGCATTGATGGGCAGTGCTCTTCTGACGTATTTGTTCCATAAACAGAATCAAAAGACTTGTAATGATGACCATCATCAAATGGCACAGGATCAGGCAACCACTTCAGACTGTCGAAGTCTTCATGACACAGTCTTGGGGGCAGACAAATCTCACAATCAGCCAGGCCACATTTCTTTATCATGAACATATAACGTCGGCATACACAGCAGTGGCTCATGAACTTCTTTAGATTTTGTTTGGCTCTAAGTTCTCCTGCCGACATTCCTTCTAACGAAATTGTGTCATCCATTTCCTTGAGATAGGTCACCATTGTATCTTGGTCTTCAACTGACGCAGCATGAAACATCTGAAGTGGCAGATCTTTCCATGACAGTCTGGAAAACAAATCACCCAGTAGTATTTTCACACCTTCAAGACTGTCAACAAAGGCTTTTTCCAAATCTGGAAATATGGTTGCTTTTTCTCTGATACTTTTCATGTTGTTGCAGGACTTTAACATGTTTTCAAACTGTGGTTCCATCTCGGCACGCATTAGTCCAATGCAGTTAAGAGCCAAGTTTAGAAGAGACATAACTCGCTCTGGTGGGTTTCTCCAAGAGGCATTAGGGGCAGTCCTTACTGCTATCAACATATCCAAGTCAAGGGACTTGTACAAGGCAATGAGGCTAGCCTGTACAGACAAATAGTTACACCGGTGATCTGGACCACCATCTGTGTGGAGTAGGAGAACTGGTTTCACAGGATCTTCTCTGTCAAACAGTATCTTCCCTAACTCGGTCGCATGTGGTATAGGTGAGGATGATTCAAAAACATGGTCTTTTAGGCCAACATATACTTGGCCTTTGTAGAATGAGCTTGATGATTCATCAGGAATTTCAATCAACATGGTTACACTTGGAATAATGCTACATTTTGAAGCAACTAACTTCTTGCCACCAGACACAAGCACAGCTTTCCCACGTTCAACTGCTGCGATTGGATTCCCTGGCTCTCCAACCTTGCAAAAGTGTTTGTCATCCATTGCAGCAAAGTTTGTAATAGCCCTATGCTTTACTGCAAATTCCTTCATGTACTTGAACAAAGCTGCACAGTAATGATCATCAATGTGTTTTGTCCGAAAAATTCTTGCTGTACCATGTATCGAATATTGAGTCGACCAGTGTACTGAAGGGATGCAATGCTGCTTGGTACTTTAGGAGCAAACAGTAACCTTAACCACTGCTCACTGGGTATAGGATTTTCTGGACCACAGTCTAGAAACATTTTGTCTGAGGTCACAGACTGAAATTGCAGTGGCGAAATAAGTAAATTTATCATGGCGCCTATCATCACAAGTTTCTTCAATTGTGTTTGCAATATACTCAGCACATTTATCAAAAAACTTGTCATAAACAGGGGTTCTTCTTGGATTATGTTTCCTTAGGTCAGTAACAATAGAATAGTCATCCATGCGAAAAGCTTCATTCACACGCTGATCAATGACAGCTTGTTCTGCTGATTCACTACTAGATGCATCACCAGTAACTTCTGCATACAGACGTCGGAGATAGGCAGGTTGAGTTCCAGGGCAGATACTACCACAAGTACCTGTAAACTTCTTCCTCATAGCACGTGTGTGAAATAAAGGCATGTCTTCCTTCAACTTTGAGATCACTTTCAGGTTGGTATCAGTAGTGGATGCATCATCTGTAGCACTATGTTTCCATATGAAATAGTAGGTACCTAGTGAATTTCCATAAGCATAGGAGTATAAAGAACATGTGTACTGTACCCCCTCTCCTAGACAGTCAACATAGTGACGTCTTTCTCTTGTGTCACCTGGGGTAAATAAGTCAAGCTCAATCGGATGGTAAGATCGAGCACTCTGAAAAACAAAAGCAGCATTGTAAATTAAATATGAATATTCAGAAAGATGACATTTCCAAAATATTAATTGAATATTGATATTTTCTAATACTTATGTCTAATTATTTATAATTGATAATTTGATATGCAATAATTGCTGTAACCTTATCAATAAACATGATAAGCCTTGTTAGATACCCGTGAAGATTCCGGGGTAGAATAGGTCTTCAGCAACCCATGCTTGCCGCAAAAGGTGACTATGCTTGTCGTAAAAGGCAACTAACGGGATCGGGTGGTCAGGCTCGCTGACTTGGTTGATGAATGTCATCGATCCCAATTGCATGGATCGATGCTCATGATATTAATCACTGGATTGTCTGGTCCAGACTCGATTATTTACAGACCGCCGTCATATAGCTGGAATATTGCTGAGTGCGGCGTTAAACAACAAACAAACCAACCAACCAAACCTTGCTAAGAGATGATTTTGAATAGTTTATCATTTTAGAATTTGGTTTGTCAAACAAGAATGTTTTACAAACCTGTAGAGCTTCGTTCAATTCTCTGTACCTGTGGTGAAAGTGGGACTTCACTTCTGTCTTCCCGTGCAATATTTTGTAGTTATCACTCATTGCATCAGTCCGGATAGGTTCCAAACTGTTATGATTGGCAGCTGTCTCAAGCCTTTTCATTTCCAGGTAAGTCACATACTTGTGAAGACAGTTGGCAAGTGAAATAACACTCTCCTTCACATGCGCCCATGGTTTCCTATTCATCCACGGTAATAAGGCAATCTTGTCCAAATCAACAGACTGTTACTTTCAGTAGGCTTGACAGTATGCTTCGACGCAAATGAATTAATGAATAAGGTGAATAAGGTGAATTCAAAGTCTTTTGGAACAAAACAAGACCTTGCTTCCAATTTATGACAGTGTGGCCCAATATACCATAGTATATTTGTTAATGTCTGGACGAAATCTTTACCTTGATGGATGGTACATGTAGAAAACCCAAGCCATCTCTCTTGCAAGAAGTCTATTATACTGTTATAGAGTGCAAGTTTCCTCTTAATCTCCTTCACTTTTGCAGGAATCCGTGCATTGTCTAGCTGCATTAAGATAGAAAAGGCATTTTTCCCACACATTTGACGTCCATGCCACTCACAATCATCACTTGCGCTTCCACCATGGCACTGTGATGTGGAAATTTCCCTCGATTAGGACTGATCAAAAAGTTGTACTTTAAAATACTTTCCATAAGAATCTATTATTGATCCAATAGACCCAGCGTTTTCAAAGTTTTGCCGGTAAAGTTTCGCAGACACTCACATGACAGGTCTATCAATTCACATATTGTCGTCGATGCTTTGATGCCTATTATAGTCCATGGCAACAACGACTGCCCTTGCTTTTCAACTTGTACTGACACTAAAAGTGACATCATGAAAAACATAAAATAAAGTGTACCGACCATGCTTTTAATTCCATGAATGTCTACCCGCCATAACTACTACACGAGGTGCGCAGTAACGCAGTGCGCAAGCAAAGGGAACTAACCGCGTGCTATATAGGATCGGGTTATTTTTAGTTTTGCAGCATTCCATTGTCGAGGTCTTGTGTTAGAGACGCAGGATATTTACAGATTTTTTTCTCTCTTCAAAATGGAAATAAAAGCGAAACGTACAGCGGACTTTATGATGATGCGGGGGTGCCTGAGAACCAAGATTTTTTTTTTTTTAGCCTGAAGACTCTAAGGCTTAAAAAAATAAAAATAATTAGTTCTCAAGTAATGACTTCAGAAAATATTGCAAGAGGGTGGCCTTTTTGTTGTTCAAACTAGTATGTAACCAAATAAACAGCTGTGTACAATCAACCTGGCTAAGGGCCTCCCAACAATTTGATTACTATGTGATACGCATTCAATGAGCTTAAATATTAGTTCACAATGCGAAGACGTTATCGTGAGCATACAACACTGGAAGAAGCTTGTCAACAAATCTGTACGCAAGCTAGTCCTATTATTACACTATCTGACTATAAAAGTTGTTCATCCATATATCTTATCCTAAATTAGAACTCCAACTTCTAAATGCCTCTCAAAGAAGTGGCTATAAAAGTGTTCACTGTGTAATTGGACTTGCGTTTGTAATCCATTATATTACTTATCTCCAAGATTTCATTCAATTTTGTTTTCGGCAAAATCGTGTATGATCTGATCGGCAAATCAACTGATCACATCAACTTATCCTCTTGAAACGATCTAAATCTAAATCACCCATGTAACAGGGAGAACATGTGTGAACAACTGATTGCTATTTCTGGCTAATGTAACAAGACAAATACACATGTAATCCTTGATGTAAATCGTCATGTCTAGTGTTGTTTTATTGTCAATTTCATGTTTTCATTGACCACATTTGCAAGCGGCAGAATAAGCACACAAATTCCATGACAATAACATGAAATAAGCAGAAAAGCTGTATGCATGTAAAGGGAAGTAACTGAAAACTATTTTGGATCGTGTTGTTTTAAAGTATTTTAGCATTTCACTGCTGGGTTCGTGTATTTGAGAAGCGAAATATCTAAGGATTATTTAAAACTTTTTCAAAATGGAACTACAAACGAAACGTGCGCATTACTTTGTGATGAAGCGGGCAGTGCCTGAGAACCAAGAATATTTTTTTAGCCTAACTTCAATTTACACATTGATGTACATTTTGTTATGAAAGAATATCAGCTTCATGGTAGGTATGGTAGCTGCTCATTAACCTTTAGCCTGCTGAATTATTTTAGCATAAGGCGCTGTAACTTAAAATATACGCCAAGCCTACTCGTTAAACAGTTAAAGCAAGTTTCATGTTGGGGTGTCCTTCGACTATGCGCCTGTCGACTGGGTTCGACATAAGCATGGAGAGCTTTAAGAAACTCAATGTAAATTGGGATGCAGTAGTATAGGTAATGATGGTTCTGGACCACTTCCACTGGAGCCGGATTCATATACCAATACCACCACTACAGGGGGAATTTTTTATGCGTAAATGATGATGCGATTCAACGATAGTCATAAGATTAAGTTAAATTGACTCCAGCTCACCACCACCTGGAATCTATGATACAATTTTTTTATAGGTAATGATGGTTCTGGAGTTTAAGTTAAATTGGCTCTAGCTCACCAATACCTGGGGCCAATCATTGCTTTAGATGAGCCTAAATGGTAATAAAAATATTCTTCATTATTTTTATCGATAAAGCGATATTCAACATTTTTATTAAGTTCTTCATTCATTTTACTAGGAGACCAGACTATATAACTACACTCTTCTTGTAAATTGATAAGAAACAATTGATAACCGTATTTGGTTGGTTTGACATCACTGATATAATTAAAACCTTGTGGTAATTCTCTCCATTTAATAGCTTTTTCGATCTCCATTATTATATATATTTATGTAAGCATTTGTCTAAATGTGATCAAATGATAGTAAGCAATCTATTTTTAATCTCCAACCAGTTCTTTGGTTTTGGCACGGAATAATTGACGCGCTTGTTGCCTCCCCTGTTCTATGAACTTTTTTTTCTCATCCTCGCTAATACCACTGGTCTTATGAGATTTTGATCGAATCTCCTGCTTCATTTCATTGTATTTGGTGAGTTCCGACAGCACTAAACGAAACTCATCCTCGGATATCTTACAATCAGCCATTGCTGTCGAAATATGATCCTCAATGCTGTTCAACTTTGCTTCGGCGAGTATTCGAATACTATCGTGTTTTAATGCTTTCTTTTGCAACCTACAAGAAATGAATTTTATCGCTATTCCTGCCAGTCCCGAGACTCCAGCGGCTATTTCCATGCCGAGCACGATAGGCGCGGCGATTATAGTTGATAGTAAACCGATACCCGCTACACCGAGTCCCATGCCAGATACAACAAGTGCGGTGTCAACTCCGTCCAGAGCATTCACGGCTCTGCGATACTTTTTATACAATCCAAGTCTCAACTCCCTATCCTTCTCTATTCAATGTTTTATGTCGCTTATTTGATGTAAT